ATATGTCGTTCATTATTCACATAAATTAATGTTTTATGAAATTTATTAATTTTTGTGAAATAACATTTTCTTATAAATTTAGGTTTGCTACATTCGCTACCCACAAGTCACAAATCGGATAGATCATTGGTTGACCGTAACACCTATAAATCCAAGAGGAACACTATATGGAGTTGCCGATCATGAGCCTTTGCAACCTAGCGGAAGTGGTTTAATGGCTCCGGTTGAGCATTCTCTTGAAGTCGACCTTGTCATCGACAGGTACGATGAATCAAAACCAACAAATAACCGACGCACTATATAATTAAGAATCAAAATATAAGTTCATGTTATTAAAACAAGTAGTTTCTAACTTTTATTCATATCTCCAACTACCGTGGACTTCATACCAACATTAAAAAGATATAAAATAGATAAAATAGAGGCTTTTGTAAATTGTTATGAAATTACAAATAAATGGTGTAATTGTTATGTATATATACTTATAAAGTTATATTTGTGATTTGCAAATTTTTTTTTTTTAAATGTTAAAAGAATGATATAACTAGATCATCAAACCTCTAAATTGGAAAGTTAAATGGTAAATCATCATCAAATAAGTCTAATTTTACTTCCAAACCCTAAACCCTATACTCTTATACCCTAAACCCTTATTTGGTATGTTTTCCGTCGGTTAATCATCGATAATAATACATAACCAAATAAATTTATTTCCCCGCGTCCATTTTGCTGAAAATAATTCACACCGCGCCATTTACTGTGCAAATATATTTTTTATATATCCGTCGGTTTGACCAATAAATAAATTAATTTTTTTAACATTACCGACGGAAAACCGACGGACTGTTTATGTGTCATCGGTTTTCCGTCGGTTTGGGGAATTATATACAACATAAAAAATCCAACACCTGTTGTCTTCCTCGCCATTATCGCCTATCCCTCTTCCTCCTCCCCTCATCGCCATTATCGCATAGAAACATAAACACTTACAACAATTTCTCTCAATTTCTCTCAAATTGCCTCAATCGAAACCTCCATCGTTCTCCTCCTTCTCAATCCCTCAATCGAAACCAATTTTCTCCTTCCCTCTCCACCCACGTCGGGGCATCTCTCACCACACGGCGAATTGATGTAAGATTTCTTACTCTATGTATAAATCCTASAGATTTTGTTGATTTGGTTGATGTGGTTAAGATTAGGTATGTAGATTTTGTTTTTAGATAGTTTARTATGATTTTGTAAATTTTGTTTTTATATAGTTTAGGTTAATTATATAAATTTTGTTTTTGGTTTATAGTTTTTGTTAAATGGTAGGATGAGATCTCGGCTTTTTAGTTTTGGTCGATTTATAAAATTTGGACATTTATAAAATTTATTAGGA